TCCAGTTATATCAGGATATAATTGATACACAGCACTATATAAGTACAGGATAATGATTTGACTTACATGCATCCATGAAATTTTCACAATGAGTTCAGTAAATATCCATCGTCTCATATGGATCTCATACAAAACTAAAGAAAAATTATATTTTTCCTTCTGGTGAGAACTCTTAGGGTTTAACTCTTAAGTTTCTTTCACTGTGCAAAAGCTTTTCAGTTTGATGTAGTCTCATTTATTTTTGTTAAATCTTCTTTTGACTCCCCTTATTTTATTTAGAGGTATGTTATTTAACTCCAAATATTTGTCTTTTTCTGTGTATCTTATTTTCATCCATTTGTATGTTTTTCCATTTTCATCAGATAGCATGCTCTGTTAGTTTACATCCTTTGGAAATTTATTGTTACTTGTATAGTCAAGCATATGTTCTCTCTAAACATTTCTTCTGAGTTTGACAAGAATATGTTTCATGCTTCATGCAGTTGTTAAGCACAGTGTTTTATAAAATCAATTTGGTTAAATTGATAAATAATATAATCATGGTTTTCTCATTCCTTTATAATTTTGTGTATTTATTCTATCATTCACTGAGAGTGATATGTTAAATTTAGCACCTTTAATTGGATTACTCTGTTCCTCCTGTTAATTATGTCAATTTTTGCTTCATGAATTTTTGTGTTCTGTAATTAGGTGTATGCATATTTTGGATTTTTATTTGCTCTTGATGAATCATGATGTTTTTCCTTTATCTCTTATAATATACTGTGTATTGCAGTATAGTTTGTCTGATATGCATAAGCTTTGCTTTTTTATAATTATGATTAGCTTGTATATCACTTTTTATTCTTTTCTTTCAGCCTTCTGATCTATTTTCATTTAAAGTACATTACTGAAGGCAGCAGGTAGCTGGGTCTTTTTTTTTAACTCAATCTAACAATTTCTGCCTTTTAATTGGTATATAGTATATTTATGTAGTTGATTAGTTTTCTGTTGAGATTTAAATCACCAAATATAATATTCATCCACTTTAAATTTTACAATTCACTGGCTTTTAACATATACACTAAGGTACGTAACTATCACAGCTCTCTAATCTGAGAATATTTATATCACCTCCCCAAATCCTCATACTCATTAGTAGCCACCCTCCATGCCCCAGCCCCTGGCAACCACGTTTATTTAGAAGTTGTATGAAATTTATTTTCATTTCTCTTGGGTACACACTGAAAGCTAGAATCGCTGGGTCATATGGTAAATAAAAATGTGACACTTTGAAGAGTTGCTAAATGTTTCTCAGAATGACTATACCATCTTATACTTCTGTCAGAAATGTATGAACCTTCAAATGTCTGCACATCCTTGTGAACACTTGTATTTTCTATCTTTTTAAAATCTTTAAAAAATCCTAGTGGGTGTGAAGTGTTAGCTTATTTCAGTTTTAATTTGCATTTCCTAATGACTACCGAATGATGGTGATCACCTTTTTATGGACTTGTTGGTTATGCAGATAGATTCTTTTGAGAAATGTGTGTTCAGTATTTTTGTAAGTTTTTCGTTTGGGCTATTTGTCTTTTTATTGTTGAGTTTTCAATGTCATTTATAGATTCTAGATATTAGACCCTTATTAGATGTATGGCTTGAAATAGTCCTCCCACTCCGAGTGGTCTTTTCACTTCCTTCATAGTGTGCTTTGAAGTGCTAGAGTTTTTAATGTTGATAATGTTCAGTCATTTTTGTTTTGTTTGGTTGCTTGTGCTTTTGGTGTCATAGCTAGAAAACATTGCCTATCCCAATGTTACAAAAACTTACGCCTTGGTTTTCTATTAAGATTTTTTTTTCAGGTTTAGCTCTTACTTTCAGTGTTTTTTTTGTTTTTTTTTTAAATCCACTTTGATTTGATTTGATATGTGATGTGAGACTGGGGTGCAATTTCATTTTTTGCATATGTATATCCAGTTGTCCTTCCAAATTTGTTGGAAAGAGTATTCTTTCCTCCATTAAATTGTCTTGACAAACATATTGAACATCAGTTGACCTTAAGGCATGGGTTTATTTCTGAACTTTTATTTCTATTCCACTGATCTGTGCTCATCCTTGTCCTGGTACCACACATGTCCTTGAGTCTGTGGCTTTATAGTAAGTTTTGGAGCCTAAACTGTCTAGTTTTCCAAATTTGTTCTTCGTCAAAATTATTTTGGCTATTTAGGATACCTTGTATTTCTATATGAATTTTACATACAGCTTGGAAATTTCTACAAAAAAGTTAGGATTTTGGTGGAGATTAACATAAATATTGCATAATTAACAATATTTAATTTTCCGACTGATGAACAATTTGGGCCTTTTACATTTTTTTTCGGGAATATTTTATAGTTTTTATACTATGCATTTACTCTACTTTTATTATATTTATTCCTAAATGTTTTATTATCATTAATGCTATTTTAAATTGATTTCTTAATTTAAATTTAACTATTTATTGCTAGTCTATAGAAATAAAATTTATTTTTTTATATTCATCTTGTATCTTAAAACTTGCTGAACTTGTTTTGTTTTATTTTAGCTCTATTAATTTTGGTGGTCTGTTTAGGATTTTGTCTATTCAAAAAAATCATGTGATCTGTAAATACAGATAGTTTTGTTTTGTTTTGTTTCTCCTAAAGTGGATTCCCTTTTTTTTTTTTTTTGTCCTACCTGAGTGCCCTGACTAGAACCTCCAGTTGAATAGAGTTGGCATTGCCAAGAGTGTCTTGCTTTTGATCCTTGGAAGAGAGCTTTCAGTCTTTCACTGTTAATTATGATGTTAACTGTTGGTCTGTTGTAGATGCAGTCCATCAGGTTGAGGATGCTACCTTCTATTCCTTTGCTCATTGTTTTTTATCATGAAAGGGTGTCAGATTTTGTCAAATGGTTTTTCAGAATCCATGAGACAATCATATAATTTGTCCTTTATAATGCCAGTATGTTGTATTTTATAGATTTATTATGGTATGTTTTAAACAACCTTGTTTTCCTGGGTAAATCACACTTAATCCTGGTTATAATCTTTTGGTATGTTGCTGGATTTGATTTGCTAATATTTGTTGAAGATTGTTGCGTCCCCAAAAGGTATATTGATCTGTAGATTTTGTCTCTTTCTGGTATTTCTATCGGTTTTGGTGTCAGTATAATGCTGGCCTCATGTAATGAATTGTAAATTTTTTTTTAGAGAAGTTTATAAAGGAGTGATGTTAATTAGTTCACTGTTTGGTAAAAATAATCAGTGAGGCTTTCTGGTCCTAGACTTCTCCTTGTAGGTTTTTCTGTGATTTTAGGATGTTGCTTTTCAAGACTACTGTGGAGCTGTCGGGGGTAGAGGGAGGATGGAAATAGACATATTAAAACACCACAAAACTCACTGTTCACACCAAGACTCAGCTGTTTTTCTTGTTTACATCTCCCTGGAATACGACAAGTCTTTGGTTAATTTCCAGAGCTCTGAAAAAGTTGATTCTTACAACTTTTACTGCTTTTCTGGAGGAGAAAATTTTAGAGGTCTTTACCATTTTTGGTGAAATCTGTTGTTTATGTATACTTAATATGATGACTGATAGGATTGGTAGACATTGTCAATATTGTTTTTATCCTTACTTTGTCCTAATCTGTTTCTGTTGCCTAATATTGCTTTCTACCTTATCTTGGTTTATTCAAACTTTTTTTTAATTATTTTGCTTAATTCTTCTATTGACTATTTAGTTATGCATCACTTTATTAGTATGTAATGTTTGTTCTAGTGCTAAATAACATTCATTTATGACGTATAAGTCTATCTGAATCAATATTGTATCCCTTCACATCTGACACTTCATATATGCCACTCTGTTCCCTCTGCCCTTTTCATGAATGACATTTCTTGCTTTTCAACTTTCACTTCACCCTTCAAAGTTCCCCCTTCGCCAACGCAATACCTTCATGCCAATGTCTACTGAAAGAAAAACAGGCAACTTAAGAGCTGTGAGTTTAAGTTTTATTCAGATCTTATTGAGGACTGTACCTTGGGAGACAGCCTCTCAGTAACTCTGAGGGGACTGCTCCAAAGGGACAGTAGAGAAACCAGTGTCTATATATGACTTTTGACTAGGGAGTCCATGCAGTCAGGAATACATCCTGGTAAAAAATTACCAGTAGTTACAAAGAACAGGTATCTCAATTGATTTTAATGTTTTTCTATATACGAGAAGATATAAGAATCTGGGTTCATTAAAATTCCTCCTGAGATATACATCTAACTATCTAAGGACCTGTTTTTCCAAAGCACAGATGGCCTCATCCTGTTTTCTGTGCATCCTGAGGTCCCAGGGTGCACGATCGGTCAGCTCCTGCAGCAGCTACTGACTTCATCCTTGCTGGATTGGTTGGTGAGCAACAGTCTTTGTTTACAACAGCATGAATATATTTATCTGCCCATTCCATTTTTTTCCACTTCTGCCATATCTTTTAGTCAAATTACCTTATAAAACCCATCTTACAATATTACTAATTTTGCTTTCAATAGTCAGTTGTCTGAATTAAGATTAAAAAACCCAGTTTTTAAAGTATTTATCTCTTCCCTCTTTGCTTTTAGATCTCTTCCCTCCTGTCAAGCCAACTTCCGTTTGGTATTATTTTAATATTTTGACTCTGGTTTATAATTTTAATTTCTTTGCTTCCTATTTGATACATTATAATATATCATGAATTTATTTACGAAAATTTCAATGATCGTATTTCATTCTTAAATAATAGTCATTGGAGATCAGATGCATGTTGAGTGCTGGAGACATGAAAATATATAAAATTCATCTCCTGCCATCAATGAGAGTCAAGTAAAGTAGGAGAGGTGGGGCATTTCTTGAAAATATGGCAATATGTGGTTAAGTGATGAATGATAGGCAAGCAAGGGGTTCTTTGGCATCACAAAGGAATGGCTACTTATTTGAATGAAAAATTCAAAGGAAACTTCACAACATATAGGAAACTACCTATCTCTGGGCGGGTAACCAGAAAAGATTGAGTTTGAAGGGGATCAGGTGTGGACAGCCTGGCTCTTTCGGAGCCAGATTATCTCGTTTGGTTTGGCTGAAATTTAGTGTCAATGGTAAAGTGTGAGTAGATCAAGTTGGACATGCAGACATGAGCCAGATGGAGAGGTATTCCATCTGAAGGCTGTGGGAAGCTCTCAAGTGGTTTGTTCTTGAAACGATCAAATGCAAATTTTAGAAGTCACATGCTGAACTGTAGTGTGAATAGAATGTGGATGGAACAGAAACAGAAAGAGATAATGGGAACACTTAGGGGATAAATACAATAATCTAAATTAGAAAGTATGAGAGTGCAAATTAACTCAGTGGTAACTGTGATGGACGCTGGTGGGGTGGAGGGTTGGGCAATTTTAAGGAGGTAGAATCAAAAGATTTTAGAAAGCTTTAGTGAGGAGAAATCAAGAAAACTCAGCATCAATGCATGTGATTTAATCTCGAGTGATTAAGTGGAGGTAGGGGAGCTCTGATTATTCAACCTGATAAGAAAGACAACAGAAGATCTCAAATGAGTTCAGGCTTATGACTGAGTAATGTGGAGTTTATGATTCAAAAATTTCTGAATAACATTTCTATTCTTAGCAAGCTTAACTGAGAGGAAAATTTATGCACAATAGCAAACTGCAGAATTTTTATTTCAATGTGCAGCTATGTGGGCTCAGCTCTGGGTGGATTAACTTCATATTCCTGCACAGAAAAACTTAGCAAGATAGCTTATATTCTCTTCCTCACTGTCCCTCATTCTACAATTTATTTCATTAAAAAATCTTCACCATTCCCACATGCTGCATTTCCCGAGTGAGGACTCAATATTAGAGAGTTTTGCACTTTGTGTTAGCATTGTCATGTTCTTAAATTGGCCCTCTCCTTTAAAAAAAACGTCATTTAATAACATTTTCAACAGCTAGGATGTGTGTGCTGATCTTAGAATACTTTCTGTTGAGTGATGGGGTTAAATCCAGAATGCAAATGATTACAGAAAAAATGTTGATGACAATTAAAAAGTATCTTGAAGAACTTTCATCCTTTTGTAGGGACGGAGATAAAGAAATGTAAATTGAGACTCAGTGTCTCTTCCTCTGGAAAAACTTCCCAACAAGAGAAAGTTAGTTTGGCCTCATGCCTCTGTCAGAACATTAACTACTCTGCAGATCCCGTGATCTTTCTTGCTCAGTGCACTAAACATTTTTGAGAAGAGTGGACACTGATTCATCTCAGCACATTTCTCGACACGCAGTGGGGTTGCAATAAATTTTTCCTTCTATTAAATGACATCAAATTGGTTTTTAAACCAGAAGAAACACAAGGCCTGTGTTGATGCAGACCAGAGGCGTAGCTGAATAGAGATGCAGAAGTGACAGAGCTTAAGTGAGGAGCATGTAAGATAGGCAGGGACACAAATCCAAAATTTCAAGGTGGATTGGTCCACCTTCCAATTGCCTGTGCTGCTCTGGTCACACTGGCCTCTTCACTGTTTCTGGAACCTGCTGGTAATGTTCCTAACTTGATGCTTCTGCTCTTTTTTTAACCCCTTCTAAGATGCTCTTTCCTGAAATACACATTTGGCTAAATCCCTCGCCATCTTCAAGAAATTGCTAAAATGTCATCTTTTCAATAGGCCTTATCTGACTGCTTGATTAGTTTCTCATTGCTGCTATAACAAATTATCACAAAATTAGTGGCTTAAAACAACACTTTTTATTTTTTCTAACAGCTCTGTAGGTCAGAAATTCAGCATAGCTCTCACTGGGCTAAAATCAAGGTGTAGGTATCGCTTCATTCTTTCTGTGATCTCTGGGGAGGAATCCATTTTCTTGGCTTTTCCAGCTTCTAGACACCTCTCTTGGGACTCGCACAAAGTCTCTTACATTTCAGAACCAGCAACCAGGTGCTGAATCCCTCTCATATTTCCATTTCTCTCTCTCTCTGACCCAGTTAGGATAGATTCTTCCCTTTTAAGAACCCACATGATCAGATGTGTCCCATCTAAGGGAACCAAAGTAATTTCCTCAACTCAAGAGACCTTTACTTCAATCACATCTGTGAAATTCCTTTATTTCCCCACCATGTAAAGCAACATATTCAAAGACTCTCAGGATAAAGACATAGACATCTTTGAGAGACAACTATTCTACCTACCATATTCCTTTATTTAATATCACAATTATTACGTACCACCCCAACCACTTCTAATGTTACTTCATCTCTACCTTTTCTCTCCTTCCTTTTTTAAGTGAGAGTCTTGCATATTATGTATCAGTCGAGTTATCTGCTTTTTGCCACTGGAATGAATGTAGATTCTACCAGGGCGGGGATCTCTGCATTCTTGTTCCGTGATGTGTTTAAATACTGAGTATCATGACTGGCTCATGGTGGATATTCCAAAAAAATATCTGTTGGATGAACAAACTCCTACAAGTGATTGCTGGATCCAGTGCTGATCTTACATTTTATTGTCAGATGCATTTCCCAAAGGACTGAAGGCACTCACACTTCCATCTTTCTTCCACCTCTCTTCAATATGCAATTACTGCTTTCTTACCTGAGAGAAAGGGACTAAAATGAACAGTAACGGCCAAGTTTTAATGGTGGTGAAATCACAACACACTTGAATGTGTAGGCATTGGTTTGGGCCATATTTTTCTGGAATTGTAGTAATGTTTTAGAACACTGAGATTTGTTTTTTCTTTAAAACCAGAGCCACCCCTTTCTCAACTAGTCCCTGATTGGGAGATAAAAGAAGGCATTAATTCTGATAGAGACTGTGTACTCCTGTGCCTTGTATATCTCGCTCCAGTTCTAATCGATTGGTCACTTTTTGAGTCTTCCCAACAACTAGTAGTGAAATTCTCAACTATTGTTTGTGTCCTTCAGTGCTTGAGTATTTGTCACTCGTGACTAGGGCTCTCTAAAATAGAGCTGATGGGTGTGGAATTATGACAACTTCAGAAATATTTCAGTTTTTTATCCTGTGTACTAACACCCCTCATCCGGGATTCAGAGGATATAAATTAAACGATGTTGCCTCCTGCTCCTCTTCTCCTTTTCATTCACTAGTTTCTTTCTCTAAGAACACAAATTAAACAGTTAAAAACTAGAAACTAAACTTTAACATGAGACCTTTGCATGTGGGCAAAGACCTCGGACGTTTCTAGTTAAACAAACACAAACGTTATTTTCTTACCTCCTTCTAATTTCTTAACCTTTTAATTGATTAGCATTAGCTTTGAGGTTAAACAAAGCACTTAATTGATACTGTTTCTAACATAAGTTTTTATACATTATTTGACGCATAATTAAAACTCATGGTTATATAGTCCTTTTGTGCACGAAGAGACTGATGTGTTAATTACCAATAGGCTATTATTGTTTGTTATGTTTTTTCTTCACATCAATTACTTATTGTTCGATTAAATTTGTTATCTGATTATAGTTTAAAATATAACACATTCTGGAATGAACTATGCATACGTTTCAATGACTTGTCTTTCCTACAATCCTCACATTTTTCTCACTTAGCATCACTTGTATTTTATATATTGGAGAAAATGATAATAGTGAAATTACTATATAATATTTCTGTCGCTTTGGTTTCTGCTGGAATTTTGTAAATACAAGTTTCCTGCTCACAAAAAAGGCATAAACTGTGTAGTCTAAAATATTACAATTTTAAGTCAACAACCTATATGGAAGTACTAATTAAAAGCAATTTTCAAAATTAGTTGCTCTAACACCATTTTCTTAAACTTTTAAAGTTATTCTTCCCTGAAGGAGAGACTATTATCTCGGTGCGGAAGTCTGCATTAGAGTGAGAGCTATGAATGTTTAGGACTCTACCCTAATTTGGTCCAGGGTGAACAGTTTTCTAGGGGGAATTCGTGTGAGTCACATCAGCTTTCTAAGTGCCATAGGTTGCTCCTTAACAGTAAGACAGACAGTTTATTAAAGTAATGCCGGTAAAGTGTTCATTTCCCTTCACTTGGGAGACTGCTTCCTTTTTTTTCTTTCTTCATTCTCCTCCCCTTTTCTATTCTCTAAAGAACAATTAATTAACCCTGCATTATTATGTGATCAGATACATAAGGATTTTTTTTTTATTCTTGCTTTAGGACAGACAGTATAATATCTCTCCTTCAGCATAAAAAAAATCACTCACTTTGCAAAATCTCATGAGTTTGAAAGTATATTACCTCCACTGTGTGTTATAATAAGACCCTTCTCTTTTTGTCTTTGAGTTATTCCTGAGCTACAGATGACTAAAATCAACTTTGCCTTCCATATAATTTTACATATTTTCATGTAAAAAACTAGCACAGGGAACCATATTCAACATCTTGTAGTAACATGGTGAAGAGAATATGAAAGTGGATATATGTATGTTCATGTATGACTGAAGCATTATGCTGCATACCAGAAATCGACACATTGTAAACCAACTATACTTCAATTAAAAAAAAACAACTTTCCAACACACACAGACACAAGAAAAAAAACTATGAAAATCTTGAGAGATAATATAATAGCGAGCTAAACTTACAATGTGATATTTTACTGGTTACTAAGTCAGTACTGTGTCTGTATCCAGAATGTTCCACTTTCCATGTTCGGCTCCCAGTCCCTTTCATTCAATGTCTCATTGCTGCCCACACTCAAAGATAACAGGTTTCTCTTCTGATTATCTGTATAACCCGATTATCTGTCTCAGCTTTCCCTCCATGTCTTAAGAGTTCGATCTTTAATATAACCATTCCTGCTCATTTATTTCATTCATTTACTCATTTCTTCACTCACTCACTCACTCACTTATTCATCATTCTTTGCCTTCCAAAAGGTGTGTTCTTCCGGAATCTTAAACCCACCTATTAAGCAAAACAAGACTATAGCCAGTGTTTTCTCGCAAGCTCCACCTCTGTTGCCGTGTATGTTGTACACAGAGCTGGATTTTTGAGAATAGGTATGACAGAGCAGAGGTAATCCTGAGAGCGTATCACTTTGTTGCTCCACAAATGGGCCTCATCATAATCATATAAAGTATTAATCAGTTGACTCAATGCTACTGTGACAGGTTTCCATTAGTGTTACGTGGAATCTTCCATTTCAAGATTGCACCAGGCCAGATGAGAGATTAAAAATGCCATTAATAAAATGATCATCTAAGTTATTAAAATTCAAGCTAAATATTATCAGTGATTTTTATAATCCAAATGCTTTTTTATAATATTTTGATGTAACCTTGACTACCCT